CAATGAAGGGCGGGGCAACGCTTGATTTTTTACTTTTTCTAAAAGCAAACAAATAAATGCTTTAAACAAATCTTTAAAAAGAAAATGCTGTGTCCAAAAGGTTGTTTTGTTCAAGTATGAAAATAATCCATTGATTTATTGACAAGTTACCACTAATTACAGTGATAATCAGTGGAAATTAAATAATTTGACCTTCAAGGCCAGGGACGTGTAGACTATAGCTGGGCAAGCCAAAGCCTTCACAGACACAGGCTTTGACTCCCCCTTATTAAATCGTAAGAGCATTTTGCAAAATAGGTAGCACCTAATTCTTCCTTCTCATGAGAAGGAAGAACTATGTTTGATGAAACTCACCGAGATGTGAAGATAATAAAATTCACCTAGAAATCCCAAGCATTCAGAATGTATAATATATGGAGCGCACTATTTTGTTATACAAAATTTTTGTTTTGACATTGTAAAAATCAAACACAATAGTCAAATTTACTAATTACCGGTCTATATCGCAGGGACTACTAAGTGACTTCTCCCTTCACGAAAAATAGGGAGAAGTTTTGAAATTTAGGGAGAAGTGATCATCAAATCGAGTTATATCATTTGATTTTTTTTTCTAATTTTATTTCACAAAATATACATGTAGATCTACACCTTTATCTGTACATGCATATAAAATATACATGTATACATATCAGGGTTCTCACTAGGACTTTAAAACATGGAGTCCATGGACTCCCAACCCTGAAAAAGTTGGAGTCCAAAAACCCGTCGCAATTAATATGTTTACAGATTAGTCATTCAATGCTCACAATAGCATTGCTGATATTTTGAATCTTCAAGAGACTTCCAAAGTTTATAGTTATTCAAAAGAAACTCTGAACTACATAGTATAATTATTGTTTTGTTGTTAATATTTATTATGAAATTATTTCATTATAATGCATCAACAAATGGAAATCGTTTTTTTTTTCACATTTATACCATATCAAATTTTATTCTGGTTAAGTAAGTCCACTCTATTCTAAAGACAAAAAGTTTATATTTGTAAAAAAAACGTAAATGTATATAGGCAGCGTTTAGCGGAATGAATAGGAAAATCTTGTACAGCTTCACACAGTGTGTAAGAGATTCATCCGATCGACTATTATTTTGGCAAATATCTTCAAAAGGGGGAATTTGAAGATAGATATTTAAAGATTAAATGTTGATTAAATAATAAAGGAACAATTCATTCGCATGTTTGGCTTGGAAACTGAGAACTTTTGCGAAATTTTAGGGTTTCTGGCGAACGTGAAATTGCCGATGTTCAGGATCAATTTTCGGATAGAATAAAAGCGTATGTGTATTTTGGTTTGTTGTCCTGGCATTTCGGCACAATATCTTAAATTCATAATACTCTTATAGAAAGTTTTTGCAAGAATGAAACTAAAGCAAAATTGTGCCTAGAAAATGCCGAAAATATTCGACAATCATTCAAAATTACACTCATTTGTCATTTGAGAAAACAGTCTTTAAACTTGCGGCGTAAATAGTCGATAATTTTATCCTTTTGTCGGTAAAATTTTCTTAATTTCAAATCAACTGCTGATCAAAGATATCAAATTATCACCTCGTGTTATATCTGGTAATTACATGTACTGTACAGCGCGTGTATACATTTGTCTGATCACTATTGCGTGATAATGATCTGAAGCGTTATAGCTGATTGGCTAATCGCTTCACGGGTCGATGTGCAAAGGACCGCCTACCTATAGACTGACACGCCCTGATGTATTTGTGGTTGTAAACAAACGGTATGTTTATGCGTCCCCAGGTAAAATTAAGTGTACAGGGAATCCTTGCTCTGAAATATTTGCGTCCAGGTGTAATAAACATGCGTACCGAGACGCCGAAATAAGCGTCCCCGAGAACCCTGCATATGGCACGGAAAATAAACAAATGTGTATTTGAAAATCACTATGATGATATTAAATGAAGTACTAGTTGCTCAATAAAATTTATTTAAGCATTTGCTTTATATCAACACAACATTTTTAAATTATTTTTTTTTTTAGGTTCAACAGTTTCTGACTCTAACTTTTAAATTATGCAATTAAATAAGAAGATAAGTTCTTTAAATTCATAATAATTATCCAAATTCTATCAATTTACATTAGTTTAAATGATGAATATTACTGTCATAAATGTAATTGTGATGGGATATTGTAAATCGAACAAAACATATAGGGGTAATTGTAAATCAAACAAAACGTATAGGGGATATTGTAAATCAAACAAGACATATAGGCCGAAAACATCGAGTTCGCTATTACACTCCATTAGGTGAATTCCCCAGAGCTATGTACAGAAAGTACCGGAAAACGTTTAGCTAGGTTTTCGAATTCCTGAATTTTCGGTTGACAGTGTCATGATTGAAATGGTGTCTGCTGTTTGATTTTTTTTACCAAATAATTCCATTTGTATTCAATATTATTAAGAGAGAAATCATTTAAATTTTGAGAAACTTAATCGCCCTAGCAGGGGAGTTTGATAAATTCTTAATTTCTTTACTCGCCCAACAGGCAACACGAACTTTTACTCGCTAATGCGAGTGGATTTGTCAAGGCCTGCTTTATAAATGTATATCTTTAAGATACATGTAAATCTTTTTTTCCCAGCTTCTATACCTGGACTCCTGTTTAAAACCAAATTAATTTAATGTTCCCCTAGAAGGAATTTTGGTAAGATCAACATGTTACATATTAATTATCCAGTTAAATCATAATTTTTGAATGGAACATATTCTTCTTAATTTCTGTTATGTTATGTAAATTAAATTTCTGTGTAGACGTTCAGAGTGCCATCGTCACGACAAATACTTACATCTGCAATGAAACATATCATAAAAACTACCAAACAGACAAGCTGTTGGTACGAGTTCGGCATTTCAAAATTGTGTTTATCAGCTGTCAAAAATTATCCTTTTTTTCATAAACACAGGAAGTTACGTCAATTTCCACTTGTTTCTTTTAAATAAGAATTAAAATTTAATCGAACGAACTGAGAGGTGTGGCTATACAAAGCCCGAAAAGTTGCTGTTGGTTTATTTAAAAACAAAAACAAGCATAGGCATTAGAGTAAGTAACAGTATCAATCAACCGGACACTTTTTGAACATTTTTCCATACATATTTCATATGGCACTTATATCTAAGGCACGTCAAGGAGGGTTTCAAAATTACCTAAATTGTTCACATTAGAGTACCATGTATCCAGACAGATATGCACATGACCTCAATTTAATGCAGTTAAAAGCTCGGTTGTTTTATTTTTTTATTTCTTATATGATAAACAATATTTCAGCAGCAAATGCTGAAGTTTTGAATATTCTATTGTTTACTCTCCAAATGATTATAACTAGTATTAGAGGTAAGGTATATCACTCTTGATGTCCAGTATAATTATCAGTATTATCATCTGCACAATTATATTGTAAATGGTGCACTTATCTATAAAGTAAAAAAAATACCATTAATAAATTTAGAATGTTTAAAATCAAAAGTCTCAGAATAGAGCCTTTATAGGAACAGCCTAATAAGTTAATAAGCCAAGTGCTTTATATATGATATTCTCCCATTTTAGACTTTTGTTTTCTGTTAGATAGATAATTTCAAACTAGAAAACACGCAATTGTCTAATAAGCCATATGCCCCTAGCTTTTGGACTGTGATATCATGCAGTAGACTGTCAAAAGTCTTGGACATGTCCATTAATATTGCTACAAAATGCTTGTTTCTGTCCAGCATCATCTTCACTATTCAACCAGATGAATAAAGGGTATCTGGCATCTGTAGTCCGGTCTGAAAGCGGCTAGAAAATTATGAAATATATATTTTCTATTATTTATTTTTTTGATGCAGATTTTTTCGACGGAAACAGTTTCCATTGACGTAGTTTCAGTAGCCTCGATTTTTGAGTGACGTTTTGTGTGAAGGCAGTGGTTACTGGCATAACCATAACCGGCGCGTGGTGTTTGCTCTGTCAAACGTGGTCTCAGAAAATCCCTCAAAAATGTGAACTTGCGTGATAATAAATCCTTGACACAAATTTGAAGTGTATGTCGTTATAGCTTCCTGTCCTTTTAAATATAGCTCTGTGGCATAATTTAGTCATATTTTTTAGTTGACCTATAAATTGATCGAGCTGATTGAATATAAAATTTATTCAAATTAAATTCGCAATTCTTGTTTAAACACATATTTCTTTTTTTTTTAATTTAAAGATACTATAGCCGCAGCGGCCTATACTAGTTGTAGAGGTAACTCCGACACTTAATCATGTATTTTTTGTAATATCTTAATTATCTTCCTGTATATTCTGTTTTGCATACAGTATTGCACTGCAAAATGAACTGTCAACATCGTCAGCGTAGGTGCCATACATCATCGAACGTTTCGCCCCGTTATACCTAGGAAACTCTAATATGGTGGGGCCACAGTGGGGATCAAACCACTGTGTGTTGACAGTTAGGACCTTGTCTTTTAATCTCTTCTGAGCCACAATCAACAAGATGCCTTTTCAGCTGCACTACTGACTGAGCGGATGGCCTACTTTTTCTGATGGCCAGTTATTCCTATCTCAGTCAGTATGTTCCACAATGACTTAGCTGGAAAGCCCATTGTCCCGACTTCTACTGGGAAAAGCCAGGCTTTCCATCCTTTCTTTCTACAGTCTTCAGTTAGCTGGGTGTACTTGGCTGATTTACGTTCGTAGGCCCCGTCACACCTCTCTTACCAAGGTACCGTCAGTTCAATAAACACAATCTTCTTGTCTTGGGGAGCAATACTATGTCTGATCGAAGAGTTGTCTGGACCACCTCTGGGAAATCGAGTCGCTTTCCAGGTCTACTCTCATCTCCCAGGTCTTTGATGACTGCTGGACCCCACTCTTTTGTGCTCCAGAAGATCCAGCTTTGCCCTCGTGAACAAATGAAACTCCTGTCTCTTTCTGAGGGAGTTTTCTATGCTACTTCCTTTCCCTCTCAATGGTGTCTGCTAACTGCCTCAAGACTCTATCGTGCCTCCACCTGTAACGGCCTTGTGACAGCGCTATTGAGCAAGAAATAAGAACATGCTCTAGTGTTCCTCTCTTGCCACATAGAGTACACGATGGATCATCGATTAGTTTCCAGCGATGGAGATTACCTGGTGTCGGTAGAACATCATACACGCTGCGGAGAAGGAAGCTTATACGAACTGGCTCCATCTGCCAGATATCTGACCAGTTGAGTTTTCTCTCTGGTAGATTCCACTTGGTAGATGCTCCTTGACTCCCCATCTGTACCAGTTGTGCCATTCTTCGCTCCTCTTCACCCTTCCTAATTTCGGCCTGAATCATAGATCTTCTGTCTTGTCTGGATGATGTTGAGTACCTCTTACGTTCAACCACTCCAAGGCCTAGGTGCCCTACAGTTGTGGTACCAACAATGTCAGCATGTCTGAGGCGTGACTCTGCTGACTCCACTGCTTGGCTGACTGACCACTTTCTACCAGTCCTTAGCTCGATACCGGCTCCTCGAATGCATTCATCAGGAGAGTCCTTAAGTGTCATCAGTAAGCGAGCCTTGGAGACCTTGAACTCTTCGACCAATGAAGAGACTGGTAGCTGGAGTTCCCCTGTTGCAGTGTACAGACCTAGGCTTGTGAAACATTGCGGGAGGCCAAACCACTTCCGAATGTGCTTATTTATCTGGCGCTCTAGGGATTCTGCTGTTGATGTTGGGACCTCGTACAGCATCAAGGGCCAGCTAAGCCTTGGTAGTAGTGAGTGTTGGTAGATCCACACCTTGAACTTTCCTGGAAGTCCTGTCTTGTCTATAGTCTTCAGATTCTGGCTCAGACTAACCTGGAGCTGATTGATAGCTTCCTTGTCCTTAAGGGTAGCATCAAACCACTTCCCAAGGCACTTGATAGGATTGTCTATGATCCTCGGGATGTCTTCGCCTTGAATCTTCAGGTCCACATGTGGCAGTATCTTCCCCTTCCTGAGTACAAGGTACCTTGACTTTCTTGGCTTGAACTTCATTCTTGCCCAGGATGCTGTTTTTTCCAGAACACCAAGAATCCATCTTGCTTGTATGTGGGATCTGTTGTTATGGTTATATCGTCCATAAACCCTCTGGTTGGGGGCATCCTTATCCCAGATGTCATCTTGGGACCCCTTGTCTCCTGTTCTGCTGCCTTCAAGATGAGATTCATTCCAAGGACAAACAAGATGACTGAGACTGTGCATCCTGTAACTATACCCCTTTCTACCTTGATCCAGTCAGTGGTAAAGTCTGGAGTGCTGAATCTAAGACGAACATTGCTGTAGTAGCTTCGTATCAGCATCTTTATCTTGTCTGGGATATGATAGTGGTCCATGGCATGTTCAATCACCTTGTGTGGAATAGATCCATAGGCGTTGGCAAGGTCTAACCAAACTACTGTGAGGTCACTGTTGTTGACGCCTGCTTCTCTGATGAGCTGTGTTATGGCTGCGGTATGTTCAAGACATCCTGAAAAGCCTGGAATGCCACCCTTCTGGACTGCGGTGTTGACATACTCATTTTCTGTCACGAAGGCAGATATCCTCTTGGCGACAATTGAGAAGAATATCTTGCCCTCTACACTCAGCAAGGATATTGTTCGGAACTGGCTGATGTTTTCCGACTTCTTCTCCTTAGGTGTTAGGCATCCTTCTGCTTCCTTCCAGCAATCAGGTACTGTTCCTTTACGCCAGACGATCTTGATGAGGTACCACAGTTTCTTCAACAGCTTCGGGCAGTTCTTGTAGACCTTATAAGGGATCCCACTTGGTCCTGGGGCTGACCCTGATCGGGCCTTCCTCACCACCTCACGAACTTCTCTCAGTGTTGGTTCAGTCAACGTGAATGGATGTGCAGGTGGGTCCACTGGGCGTATCTGCGAGCATTCCCCCAGTGGATCATCTCTCTGGGAGTCAGCGTGTGCTGTTTTCAGGTACTCCTCAGTTTCCTCTTTGCTGCTTGTCAGTCTTCCTGACTTCTCATCACTGAGCAGGGTTTTGGAGAACTTCTAAATATTGAACCACCTAAACAAAGTTCAGTTCAAAGACTTAAAAAAATCCATTACACTACAAAAATCACGTATGAAAATGGAAACTGGTACTTCTTAAAGCAAAAATGATGAAAACCCTTGGAATTACCCAAAACCGATTTTTTCCATGTTAACACGGGGTGAGAGTGGTTTTGTCGAACTACCGGTTCGGCAAACTAATCTTATATTATAAAACAGGTAGTGGTTTCGGCGAGCTTAATGTATACAGTGCAAAAAATATCTAGTGTATAATTGGGCACGTCAATTTACTGGGTCTTAAAGGGACTCCACTGAGGTTTTTTGACACGATGGGATTGAAAATATTTTTTCAAGATAAATGTACCATTTGTTGTAGACTTAGACCTAATCTTTGTGCAAAATTCCAGATCATTTGCCTACTTTGTTTTTCCAGGATAATTATTCAAATTGTAAAAAATGTCCCTAAATGAAAATTGTTTAAACGCTTTTCACTCAAAACGGGCGAAGAAATGCATAAAAATACCATTTTCAATTTATCTCAAAGTATATTTCTTTAATATCTTTGCATATATTCCTGTTTAAAGTGCTCCAGCTCATTTATGTAAGAGATTCAAATGTTATGTTTTTTGACTTTTAAACCTCAGTAGAATCCCTTTAATGTGTGGTTTATAACACATTTGCATGCAATTAAAGACAAGATATTGAAAATTTAAACCTATTATTTTCTTTAGTATAATAGTAATTTTTACATATAAACATTAACATGTGGTCTTTCTCATAATTTTGGGGGGAAAATGGCTGTTTTGTGGTTGTCTTATTTCTTATTTAATCTTTTATTGCATGAGCATATTGTGAAAAATGGTTGTTTTCATTGAAAAGCACACTGTTACAAGTTCAAACTGCTATGAAACTTTACAAAATGCTTCACTACTGATCAAACTTGGCACAAATGTTGACTGGACCATAGCCTTTGTAAAAAATTATCAAATTTTAAAAAAATTATCACATAGATGTCCTGCTCCTATACTACTATGTGGTCATGTTGTTGAAAAACAAAGTTATAACAATTATATTTATCAATTGCCGGGGTTATCTATCTCTTCGACCATTATAAGTTACATGTTATGCAGTTATATTGTATATAAAGTTTAACATATTTACGCGAAAAAGTACTTTTCTATTTTCAGTAACACTGATTTAATGTAGAATATAGTTCTCTGTTACACACTTTTTAATCAAGCAAAGGCGGAAACCCAGATTTGGACGTAACATACTGTTGCGGAATAGAATTCTATAAATTTCGCTTGTAATCATCTCATTGACAGGTAAAATGTTGATAAATGTTTAATGCATAAACATTTGTACAATATTCTTTTATCAAAATATTGGTAAATTATCAATGATATTTGATATTATTCAGCTTTATCCAGCAGGTATTCTGGGGTATAGGGCCTTACTCTTAGTGTTGTAATTTATTACTACCAATTGATGAAATTTTATTTTTATTTATGTGAAATGTCAGTAACATTATTATATGAAGATGTTATTATGATTCAGTGTTATAAGTTCATTATTTCCCAGTATTGATAGTTCTCTATGTTAATGTTTCAGTATAAATGGACAGCTGATCATTCATTAAAATTTATAGAGTCAAAATATTTGTTTAGGACTTTGTTTACAAACAAATTTTAATTATTATCACTTTTTCATTACTGGGGTCATAACCATATATTAAAATCCTTTTTGATTAATTTTAACCACAATGTCACTTCAACATTCTATATATCCTACTTTAATAGTTTTCTGTGAATATATAGCCTGATAAGATTATTCTGTTATGATTATTCTATTTAATTTTAGTGTGAAATATTTCTATGTACAGTTGCAAAGCTAACTACTTCCATATCATACAACATAAGAACAAGATTAGTTTAGTGTTATTGTAAAAAAGAATCATTTGCTCATTTCTGTTACATCTGTCCACTTCAGTTCCTTAAAAAAAATATTTATATATGTATAGAGGATATTGAATGAGTGTAGGTTTAATACTAAAATTATTGAACAAGTTGAATAAAATCATATTATGCGAGCCTCTGGCGAGCATAATATTGTTTTATTCAACGAGTTCAATAAATTTAGTATTGAATCTACACGAATATAATGTTCTATTTATCACATATATAAAATAAGAATGGTAAACTGTTAACAAGAGTCATTTTTTGTGTCGCCTCTACGGAGTAGTGGCGACATATAGGGATCACTTCTCCGTCGTCTGTCTGTCTGTCTGTCTGTCCGTCCGTCACAAAACTTGTCCGGACTACTCCTCATAAACTACTGGTGCAATTTCATCCAAACTTTACAGGAATGATCAGTACCAAGTCTAGTTGTGCATATTATCAGCATTTTCCGGTTCAATGATTTTTGTCAGAGTTATGGCCCTTTAATAATTTTTATTTTTAAAGTTTGTCCGGACTACTTCTCTTATACCACTCATGCAATTTCAATGAAACTTTACAGGATTGATCTGTAGCTCAAGTCCTTGCGCATATTGCACGGGTTTTCCGGTTGAATGATTTTTGGCCGAGTTATGGCCCTTTGATAAAAAGGTGTTTTTTTTCTGTGTGTTGCCAGATACGCAAAAGCTTGTCCGGACTACTCCTCATAAACTACTGGTGCAATTTTTTTCCAAACTTTACAGAAATGATCAGTACCAAGTCTAGTTGTGCACTGTCCGTCTGTCTGTCCGTCTGTCACAAAATTTGTCCCAACATGAAATTGGCCATCATGAGGCGACACATGTGATTACTGATCGCTCTTGTTTTGATAGTGTAACGCTAACATTAGCTCGCTTTAACGCTATGTTTATAGCGCAAAATACATGACGTCAAAGTGTTATTAATATTACACTAGTGTAATATTGACTAGTGTAATATCGTTTTTATTAAATGGCTTTATTACACTCCTGCGCCGCGGTTTATGTGATAAATATTTTATCACATAAACCCCGGCGCGGGAGTGTTATAAAGCCATTTAATAAAAACAATATTACACTAGTGTAATAACACTCTGACATGACGTCATTTGCGCTATATATAAACATAGCGTTACACTATGGGCGCGTCATTGTTGAATTACTCATTTTAACAGTTCACTGTTCTTATTTTGTATATGTGATAAATAAAATATTATATTTGTGTAGATTCAATTCTAAATTTATTGAACTCGTTGAATAAAACAGTATTATGCGAGCCAGAGGCTCGCATAATATGATTTTATTCAACTCTTTCAATAAATCTATCACCAAAATTATATATTTTTTTTAAATTATACATTTTTTCTCACTAAACATACTACCATATATTATAAGAATGCCCTAGGAAGTAATTTAAGGTCCTTTGTGCCTCCCTAGCAGTCCTTTGCGCACCTGAGCTCTCCTTAGCAGTCCAGCAACTCATCAAAAACATAAATTCTATCAAGAAAATTATATTTTTTCTTAAAATAATACATTTTTTGTCACTAAGCATACTACCATATATTATAAGAATGTTCTAGGAGTGATTTTAAGGTCCTTTGGGCCTCGCTTATAGTCTTTTGTGTACCTGAGCAGTCCTTAGCGGTCTGGCAACTCATCGAAAACATAAATTCTATCACCAAAATTATATTTTTTCTTAAAATTATACATTTTTTCTCACTAAACATACTACCATATATTATAAGAATGCCCTAGGAGATATTTAAATGTCCTTTGTGCCTCCCTAGCAGTCCTTTGTGCCCCTAGGAGGTATTTTAAGATTCTTTGTACCTCCCTAGCAGTCCTTAGCGGTCCTCCAATTCATCGAAAACATAAATTCTATCACCAAAATTATATTTTTTCTTAAAATAATACATTTTTTATCTATTAACTTACTACAATATAATATAAAAATGCCCTAGGAAGTAATTTAAGGTCCTTTGTGCCTCCCTAGCAGTTGTTAGTGCACCTGAGCAGTC